TCTTTATTATTTTATGAGTTATTAAACATCAAAATTGGTCTGGGACTTTATAAACACCCTGTATATTATAATCACTACACAGTACCTATGCACATTTTTCAATACTCAGATATTTTATACACAAGATAACAGTATTGTTAAACAATATGGAGCTTTCAATACAAATGTACTAGATATAACATAATTATATTTTATCCTGTGTCTATCAATACCTTGAATCATCTGAAAATAAAAATGCATGAAAGCTAATAAATAAATTATAAAAAAATCCACAGGTATGAATTAGCTTTGGGTTAAGCAAATCTAGATTTGCAAATAAATTTTGTATCTGCATTAACAAAACTAGTTAAGAGACAAATTACAATCATATTTTAAAGGCTTACAGAATAAGGCAATCAATCAAATGTAAATTAACCACAGTTAAAACAATAATAGAGCAATAATAAAATTACACATTATTTACCGAGTATATGCTTTTCAAGTTTGATTCAGTATTGGAAAATATTTACGAGTAAAATTTTTTATACAATATACATAATTATATTTTTGGATGAGAGTTTAATTATAAACTGAAAATTTAAAATTGATTAACAAAACAGAGGTGAAATTCATAATGTCTCCAAAAATGTGTGGTACAACAGAAAAATACCAAAATATTGCAAAATGACAATGTGAATAACACAAATGTGAAGTAGCAAATAAATTTCTCATTCAATGCTTTTTATTATTTTTTAAAATATACACGTTATTATAAAGGGGAAACATGTCTCGAGAAGTCAAAGTAAATAATATCAAACTATATCAAATAAACTGACAAGACAATGCTTTTAATAAACATTTTTCTACATCTGTGCATTAAAATTAGCTTCTAATCTTTGTAGTTATATATTTGTGTGTATGTAGGTATTACAATTACTACATAATACCTATGCATATTTATCCAGCATTTAAATATTTGATACACAATATATTAGTATTTTTAAACAATTTGGAGCTTTTGATATAAATGTATTGATGAAATATAACATCATGTAATTTGCATTCTGTCTAATCTAAAAAATGTGTACAAGCTAACAAATAAGTCATCAGAAAAGTCTACAGTATACATTAAATTAACAAATTAGCTTTTGAGTAAGCAAGTGTATATTTTGCAATAAATTTTTAATATATATTAGCAAACGTTAACAGAGCTACTTATGACAGAAATTACAATCAATTCAAATGCTTAAAAAGAACAAAATAATCAAATGTAAATTAACCACATATAAAGTTATCATAAAACAATAAAATTACAAAGCTTTAACATAGGCTTTTTAAGATAAATTCAGTGATAACATATAATAGAAAAACAATGTTTTACCCAATTTACATAATTACATTCATGAATGAAAAATTTGTTATAACTTTAAAATTGAAAACTGTTTCACAATGCTTTGGCAAAATTGATTCAGTTCCACTAATCCACATTCAAAAGTTTCCAAACATACACTATTATTACATTTTCAATAAAATCCCATGGAATAACAATATTTTATTTACAAAAGTTGGAAAAATTACATCATCATAAAATTTATAGGATGGACATTTATATTCTTTCAGTAATGTTCTACATAAAAATACTGATAACGGTCGAAGAATTTTATTTTTGTGTTACAGCGGCAACACTCACTGACAATCTAGACAGCAATGAGGAAATCTGATCTTCATTAACATCTTTCCATTTATTTTTTAAATGTTTCTCAACTATGTTATCTACATATTTTGAATTATTTTTCTCTTTAAATTCAGTTTCAGATGAAACTGTCATCACATAAACTGCCCTTTTGTACTTAGCATTTTCATGATCACAATAATTATGAAATATCAAAGCAGTTTCACCAGGAATAGCATCTAAGGCATCAATTAATACAGCATTTAAAGCAGATGAATTTAAGGCACTATTTATTTTTTCAGTGATGTCCTTCTTTGCTAAAGAAGAAGGTGTACTTTTTAACTCAAGACCATTTATCAAAACATAACTTTCAGACTCTGAAACTAATTGAGCTAAACTATGAGCTAGATGATGAGTTTTGCTTTCAACACCTTTAGCAGCAACAAGCATAATAATTGCAGGTTCCTTTGGGTCTGCTTTAAAAACTCTTTTGAGTGCTGCAGACACAATTCTGAAACTTAAATCAGGCTGACCGTGAAATTCTTCTTTCAAACTGTTTAATATAATATCAATCTTGGGAAATGGAGGATTATTTGTCTTAAATTCTAAACTTTTGTAAAAAAATATAAAAATAATAATAATAGAAATAAAACCTACAATTCTATATAATGAATATTTAAAAGAAGATTCCATTTTGGGTTGAGGTGAAACTGAACCACAGGAATGGACTGCATTGTCAGCACTCCCCTTCTTACATACATTCTTTGTGCTTGGAGATAATTTTGGGGATTGTCTTATATGGTTAATTTCATCCTTTAGATCAGGATACAAGTCAAAAACTGGCAATTGCTAGAGAAGTAAAGAAATCATACTCACATAAAGTTTGCAATAAGTGAAAGCAAAGATACATTTATTTTCATAATAAAATGCAAGGTACCTCATTCAAATGTTCAAAAGTATTGTCAGTATATAAAAATGAGTGAATTTAAAATTAAAAACCAATAAATTATAAAAAAATATAAAAAGCTAATTCACTCCCTACTACAAAAAATTTTCACACTTCTATGTGATAATTTTTAGATGTGTATAAATAGTCAACCTCTTCCAGCTTTCTATAACATGAACAGTGTTATGAGAAAAATGGCAGTTTCAATTTGGACACCCAAGTCCAGAATAGTGATTACTTTTTTCCTTAGCTGCTGCAGAAATGAGGTTAAATATCTTTTTAAATACTTGGATACAGGAATTCTGTCCCAATTATGAGCTGGGGTTTTTCAAGGAAATGTTGGGTATCAATGCTGAAATTGGAATGAGACTATAGCCATGAAAATGATGAAAGGGAAGACTTTTAAACATATTTGCCTCAATTGAAATAAAAATTTAAAAAAAAAAAAAAAAACTGAGAGTTTCCATGCTGCACACTTATGCTATTTTAAAAGAACTTCAGACCAATTTAAACTTATGTTATGGATGCATGATTCCAGTTATTAAACGATTTATAATAAAATTTTGATGTAAAATATACTCTTGTTTAACTTGATATTCTAAATTTCATATTCTTTGGTTAGTTTGATTTTATAACTTTCTTATATTTTTATATTATAAAAAGGTCTTTAGGTGCAAGTTCTTGAGGGTTTAGGAAGTAAAGAGAGAAATGAAGCAAAAAGTCTTTTCTAAGACTAAAATTAAACCAGCTTTTAAGATTTCTTTTTGGAATGTTGATGGTTTAGCTCATGACAAATTTACTGAATCGAAGACTATTCTTTCTAATCATGATTTTGACGTAATGGGCATTGTTGAGAGTGGAGCCACTGCAGACAATGAAGTATATTTTAACAATCCAGGATATCCGAAATTTGTGTTAAAGCAATTAAGACAAACTGCTTCTGGCATAATTGTTTTTGTAAAACTTTCTTTAAAGGCACAGTTAATTGCCTCTCGTCGGATGACTACTAATGATAAATAGGAATTCCTGAAAATGCATGCATGCAGACAAGAGACTACATAATATATTCTTTTTGTACAATCCTCCAAATAATAAACCCGATCTTGAAAGAATAATATGCGGTTGGGATAGAAATTCACTTATACTTGGCAACTTCAGTGCCCCCTCAACGGCTGGGGTTATTCAACATCAAATGGTATTGGCTGTATAGTTGAAAATCTTATTCTAATCCTATTGATTTCACTGAGAATGAAGGAAATTTTCCAACTTTCCTCTCTTACAATCGAAGTGTCTCTAATCCTGATTTGCTCCTAGCCCATCCAGCTCTGTCATGTAAAATACAGCATGAGTTAATTGATAGTCCAAGTGGTGCTTTGTATAAAATATTACTATCCAGCATTGTAAGATATAAATCCCTCTACACGGAGCCTCGTCAGGTTTTCTGGAACCTTAAAAAGGCAAACTGGTTCAACTATAAAGGCCTCGCTGATAAATTTATTATAAACTTCTTGGTTTCCCCAAATCTTGAACATTCTTCAAAACTCTTCACCTACACTATACTAAAGTGTGCTTCTCTAAGTGTCCCAAGAGGACAACAAAGGAAATATACAACTTTCTGGAATGACAAACTGCAGAAGCTTTGTGAAGACAGAAATAAGGCCCATGAGAAGGATCAAAATATCGGCCTTGGTGAGGATTGTATAGCTTTACGTAAGACACAGGTTATCTGAAAAAGATCAATAACTGAAGCAAAGTGTTCCTCGTATAAAAACTTTCTAGAAAAACTGGACTTTAGGAGGGATGGCATAAAGGCTCATAATGTTTTGTCCCAGATAAACAATCAAAACATCAGAAGAAATGACCCTATTAAAAAAGGTTTTAAAGAGGTTACTATTGATAAGATATTTTACATGCTTTTTGTGGGCATTTTGCTAGGACAAGCAACTACAGGCCTACTATTAACATTTAAAAAAAAAAAAAAAAATGAACTGAAATCACCTCAGGACAACAATTCCCCAGTTTTTAAACAACTTTTAATGCTGATTTCTCTTTAGGGGAATTGAAAAATGGCCTTGATGCATCAGTTAAAGGTAAAAGTGCAGACCCAGATGAAATCCTACCCGAGTTCCTTGTAAATCTGGGAGATTCTGCAAAAATTACTTTGTTGCCATTCATTAACCAAACTTGGCTTGCCGAGTGCTTGGAGAAAGGCTGCGATAATATCAATTCTCAAACCTAAAAAACCAGCTGAAAATGTGGACAGTTATTGCCCAATTTCTCTTACAAGTGCAATATGCCAATCAACTGAGAGATTGATTGCTAACAGGTTAAAGTTTGTGCTGGACAAAATTGGTTTTATATCTAAAAAACCGGCAGGTTTGCTTAGACATAAAAGCGCAGTTGAACAAATTGTACACTTGTCCCAAGAGGTAAAAAATGGTTTTCAAAGAAGACAAAGTACCCTTGCAGTATTTGTGGACTTTAAAAATGCATTTGATAGGGTCTGGAGAGCTAGACTGCTCAGGAAGTTGATTTCCTGTGGCATTTCAGGCTACTTGTCGAAACAGTTTCTTGACCAATACTTTATAAATGTCAAGTATGGACATGCTGTGTCTGGCTATAGACAGACCAAACAGGGTTTACCCCAAGCAGCTGTTCTGAGCCTGATTCTTAATATAATGATCAATGGCTTAATAGACACCATTTCCAGTTTTATTCCAGGAGTGAATGTTTTACTATTTGTTGATGATGTGGTGATGAGTGCTACAGGAACTGACTTTGCTGGCCTAGAGAGCATCCTATAACAGGCCTTAGATGTTCTTAACATCTGGACTTAAGATAATAATATGGTTGTAAATACTGATAAAACCACCTTTCAATTGTTCTCCCTCAGTACAAAACCTCATGACATCCAACTTTAATTTAATGACAAAGACCTGAATAGAAATTTTGATACTGTCTACTTGGGTATTCAATTATACCCAAAATTAAACAAAACATTTTGATTCAAATTTTGATAAAATATATGCCAGATCAAGACTATTAAAACGTTTTGCTGGTGTCACTTGGGACTCAAGCGAAGATGTCTTGTGTACAGCCTATAAAAGTTATGTTCATCCTGTTGTTGAATATGGAAACAAAGCTTTGATAACTGCCTCCGACTCTGTTAAAAAAACAAGCTTGATCTATTCCAAAACAACATGTTGCGAATGATCACTGGTGGTGCTAAAATCAATGCCCAGCAGTTGCTATGGAACTTCAGACTGAACTAGAACTGTTAAGTGAAAGGTGCCAAAGAGTTAGACCCAAAACTAACTTGGACGAAACATATTGATTCAATCGTTGATAAAGTATATCCCAGATCAAGACTATTGAAACATTTAGCTGGTATCACTTGGGGCTCAACCCAAGATGTCTTGTGTGCAGCCTATAAAAGTTATGTTTGTCCTGTTGTTGAATATGGAAACGAAGATTTGATAATTGCCTCTGACTCTGTTAAAAACAAGCTTGATCTATTCCAAAATAACATGTTGCGAATTTATCACTGGTGGTGCTAAATCAACGCCCATAGTTGCTATGAAACTTCAGACTGAACTAGAACCGTTAAGTGAAAGGTGCCAAAGGGGGGCCATAAACCTTATTGAAAAAAATATTATGAAGAAAAAATAACTTTTTAAATTATTACAGACCAACAAACGAAAGATTAAAAACCCAGAATTCCTTCCTTTCTACTGTTCACGATCTTTATGATATTGATACACCCAATCGCCAGGTTTTTCCTCAGAAAGTAAATCCTGTTCTACATCAAACCATAACAGAGGAGGCCCACCTGGATCCTTGTTTGGATGTCAATATGCAGCTCTCCTTACAAAGTAAATTAAAACAACTATTCCAAAACAACATGTTGCTGCTCTGACTTCTATATATAGTAGGTATCCTCCTGATGATTGGTTCCGTGTGTACACTGATGGTTCAGCAGAAGGCGCTACAGAAAACACCGGTGCTGGAGCATATTTATTTTCAGTATAATTGCAAAAACTCAGTATCCATGTACATATCGACCTATTTTCCCTTAAAAAAAAAAAAAAAAAACTCAAATTGCACAAAAATGGCATTGTGCACTCCCTTGATTTTATCCATGTACACGTTGACCTATTTTCACTTAAAAAACTTCAGAGAATTGCACAAACTATGCTTTATGCACTCCCTTGAGTTTGTCCATGTACACATTGATATATTTTCACTTAAAAAGTCAATGTATTTTAGCACTACACAAAGCAAATATCTCCTTACCTTATTTAGAAATCCGTTCATCTTCAGTCTGTGACACACAAAATTCCTTAACAGCATCAAAAAACTTCCTAAAATTATCTGAACTAGAATCCGTATACCGGCATCGCCACAGAAATTCACAAAAATAAGAGTCAAAAATATACTATGTAGTTGCGGACTATGGCTACTAAGTAAACCTTCATTTACACAAAAGTCAATTAATGTACTTTTCCCCTTTCGTTCCAAATTGTACCGAAACTTCAAATTAATTCTACTACATCCAGCCATTGTACTGTCTAAGCAATGAAACAAGCACTGTACTTCCTAAGCAACACACACCACAAAAGCCCTTGCAAAACATTCCATGATTCAAAATTTCCCACAATAAGGCAAACAATTACGTAATTATAGGATTTCCATACCATTCAACTACTCAGGTTACCATTAATGATACAACAACTTGGCGATAAATAATACAACAACTTCGTGATAATACAAGGGGTACCTTAAAGTCAACTCTAACCATGAGCAACAACATTACTAACTAAAAGATCTTAAACTGCATCTAGGAAGCATAAACAAGAGAAAAAACAAATCCTTTTTGCTATGTGGATGCAGACTTGGAAGACAA